GGCACTGCAGTCACACACTTAATTTAGACATTTATCACATTTTCACCCTTGATAAATAACTCTACTTTATAACCTAACATTTCAATATTAATAGCAGTTCCAAATACTTTTAAAAACAATTTGAACAGCTGCGGCTTTGGCTGCGGCTCAGTGGATGGCTTTGGGGCCGTCAACTCGGCAGACGGTGGCTTTCCGCTCACGTCGCGCGAAAGGTCGGTTCGGCTGCGCCTGAATGGCTCATGCGGGCTTCTCGTTCTTCTTCCGTTGTTAAAAAGGTGGGTCGTTTGACTGACACCGTATTTTGCTTGCTTTTGCCCATAGTTGGGCGCACGGGCTGAAGCGCGAGTTAATTAATCTGGATGAAACCTCGGCAGTTGCACGTGCGCGCGTGCGCTCCAGCAGCGAGAGCGCCAGTCAAGGCACTCAGGGCATACTGGATTTCATACCTTTTGTGCATCGCTGTCAATGATGGTGGCGCAAGCGCGTGGCTTTCGCGCCAGCAGCTTTGACAGCGTTGTACCTGGCGCCAGGTATGAAGCCGGGTACATTTAGCCTTCATGCGCGCTTTGCTTAGGGCGAGGCTATCCTAAGCAAAGCGCGCTCACGAGGAAATTACAAAGAAATGGGGTGTGTCAATACCGTGAAGACTTTTTTTTTTTAATCGCCACTCTTTAGTGTCGCTTCAACAATTTTGGTTTCCAAATTGCTACGAAATGAATGCACTAAATTCGCATCATCTCAAATTGACTTGTGCTCTTTTCGGTTCCAGCTGATGCCGCCAGGATGTTTGGCTACGGCAGCTAGTGTTGCGTAACCTGGTTCGGAAACAATGAAAGAACGCGCAAGAAGCCAGGAACAAAGTTCCTCCGAGTTCCAAGAGACGACAGGTTGTTGGTGATTTAAATTGTTGCACTCCAGAATGTCGCGCACGGTTTTTGAAGATATTTTGCAGGATTCGATTGTGCTGGCATGGCCGTTTCGTAAATCGAAACTTTGATAAAGTTCGCTTTCATTCTCGCGTCTCTGGTGTACAGCTTTTCAAGCTGTACACCAGAGGCGCGAGATATCACCAGAATGAAGTTCTACCAATGGGTAGAACTTCATTCTGGTGATGTGTTTCAGACATTATGTTGCATTTCATAAGATATCTGCAAGAGTAAAATTAATTTTATTGGGATTTTATTGGGCCGTGCAGACTGCACACTAGCCATTTGTTGGGATTATTTGCAGCAAGTAGGTTGCACTCTACTCCTCTCCTGATCTATTGTAGTGACTGCTTTTTTAGGTGGTCATGTCTGTTTTTTCCTATTATGGTCATGTGGAATGTGTAAGTTCCCATTTTGATCTTTGTTAATACTCTCTTATCTCACTCATCTTAGATGCAACTTCCTTTTCTTTTGGACATTGTTTCTACTTTACACATACGTGAAGCGTGAAGGAGATTGACATCAGGGTGTCTACCAACCTGGTAAGCCTGAAATTCTCAGGGAATTCGGGATCTCCTGGAAAAGTCAGAGAATTATCAGAATTAAAAGGTTGGCTGAATCAGGAAAAGTGACCAGTGAAAGTGCCACGGAGGTGCTTAGCGAAGCCCGGCAATCAGGTGTCGCCATGGCTCTGCTGAATAGCATTGCCCAAAATGTCATCCTTCGAAGGAGGGAATAGCCGGGGAATTTTATCGAAATAGTCAAGGAAAACGTGGAAAAATCGGGGGCTTTGGAAGAAGTCATTTGGTAGACACCCTGTAAGATATACTTAATTAGGCAGTGCAGATTGCATGCCAAGCCTTGGTGGAATCATTTGTGATGAGTGAGTCGCAGGTACGCCGGGAACCAGTCTGCTTGCAGCAGTCTTTTGTCAGCTATTTCATGTGTGCTTTTTATGGTAGTGGTCATGTTAAAACTTACATGTTAAATGTGACATGTTAAGCGCGACATGGACGTAAAACCTGCATTAGTCCGTCGGTTGGCTTTCAGTTCTTGTTATTTTGGTCATTATTGTTACTCAAATCAGCAGGAGCAATGTATGTTTAATTGTGCAGTGCAGGTTGTGTTAGGGTTATTAAATGACTATGTCACAAACTAAGTAGGTCTATACTAGTGGCAATCTCATTTAGGCATTTACTTGTCTGGTTTTTCTCATTGTGGTTATCGTGCATCTCAGAATTCTTCTGCTGAACTTTTTATTTGCCTACAAATTGCATTGGATCAACGAGCTTTGATACTGCATGGACAGTTTTTTTTTTTTTTTTGTATTTGTTACTGATGCTGCATATGTTATATGTGTGTGTGCGCCTTCCATGGAACTTGCTTGAGAATACAAAGCCGGCTTTCAATCCAATTGCATTTTTAATTTCACTTGTTTGATAAGATTTTTATGCCTGCCATAATATGCTTGTCGTTTTTTTTCGGGCTGTACTGTTTGTGAATCCCTGATACACGGTGCTTGTGTTTTCTAGTTTTTGTAATTGTATACGAGGCACAAACTGCCCATCATATTTTTTGTTGCGAAAATAAACTTTGTTGACTACTCCCTGGTGGTGTTCTGGGCAGCACAAACCTACATGTGTTTCCTGGCTTGTAGAGTGAGTGTTAACTGTACATAGTATTGTCCATTAGTTGTGCGCATTAGGATTCACACATACGTGTGACGTAATTATAGCTGAAATTTGGCATGCGGGAATAGTAGGAAAAATATAACTCGCAGCATACCAGATGGCGCAGGCTACCGCCCAACACACTACGCCAAATCCGATATCTATACGTCTGGTAAGTTTTTTTTTTTTTTATTGTGAGTCCATTCATTCAGTTGGGGACTACGACGGCCGCTGGGTGCGCTCCCTGGCAGCTAAATGGGCCGGTGGGGACTATGGGAGTGTCCGCTCTTTACCTTCTGTAGATTACTCTATGCTTGCTGTTGCGGATCGCAGGGGTAGGTATCTACACTCAATCGTAGCGTCAAATATTGTATGAGGGGAATGTTCAAGGGTTAGAGTCAGTGTTACTAAAACACTCAGTTGGGAAACTGCCATAGAGACTGCTCTGAAAAAGTGGCCCCGATCTGTCCACGAGAACCGAGCTAATGGCGAACACAACGCCGCCATTTATCCCGCAGCGGCCACTCGAGGAACTGCACGGGACTTCCATTTGGCTTTAATCGGTCATTTTGGAGCCGAAACAGATACAGCGGAAGAGGTTACAGGGGCGCCACCCCCGTCTCCCCCCCAGCGGAAGCGCCGCGACTTACCACCCACGTTAAAATGCACTATTAGGTCGATCGCAGTAAAAAATGGGGGGTCAGGACGCGCTACCTGAAAGCACCGCTGAGGCATGGGTGTATAAAAACAATATTAATTGTGCCGTGACACCCTGCAAACTAAATATTTCAAAAACATCACGCGCCCATTATTTTGTACTAAGCTTCAATAAATTTCATACAAAAAGAGCCTTTATCGTTTGTTTTTACGGAAAAACTTGCTTTCTAAAAGCTCAGTGTGACCCCAGTACAGAGAAATGATAGAGTGGCGCTGTTGTCGTATTTAGCTCGGTCTCGGTAGACGCCAGCGGCCCATGTTTCAACGGCGAGTTTCCCAAGTGAGTGTTTTAGTAACGTTGGTTGGAGCTGACTTTATAACGATCGCAGGCTCCGTACCAGCTCGACGTGGAAGCCAGCGCTCCCGCGAGCGCAGCAGCCATTGGTGATGCAATGGCCATGCGGCTTACTTACTTTCCTTCTCGTTTAAATTCGTTTGTGAGCGTTTATATTTTCATTTTGGTTTTAACTCGGATGAAAATATCCACGTAGCACATACGAAAAACCTTTCCGAAAACAAAAAAAAAGGTTAATTCCGTTTTTTTTATATTTGTTATATTTTTGTATTTTTTAAAGACTAATGTTTTTCTTTCACAAGTGACGCTTGGCAACATTGTACTACAAGCCAGTTGAGGCCAGTCGGAGGATCCTGCCGTTTTTGCCTTGTGTCGTGTGCAGTTCTCGTGTTCCCTAGTGTTCCCGTGTTGGAGTGCATGGTTAACGTTCGTGCGCTCGATGGGGCGAGTGTGTGCGTGGCGGACGTGGACTGCTCCAAGGATAGTTCTGACGAGCCGGCGCCGCTGTCACTGGATTGGGTTTCGTCGTCCAAGACGCTTTTCTCTGCCTCCTCCTACTTGACACTGAGAACTTCTTCACTGTCTGTGTGTGCTCGGTGGTTGAATGATTCTGATTGAGCTATCTTCGGTCCTGACAGTGCACTGTCACAACCGTCGATGTGCGTCGTAAATAGTGTATGTAGTTGGGACTAATGAAAAAAAAAAAGAACTGCTTCGTCATTCTACGAGTTTTTCTGAATTCGCTTAAATCTTCCTAAAAAACGCAAGCGTTTTCAGTGTATTAGAAAAATTAAGATGCGAGCTGCCCACGGTAATGATTTTGCATGCATTTGTGTAGCGCAGCACGCGAAACGAGCTGCCGTCGTACTCCCCGTCAATTACAGCCTTCGTTCGCCGCGGGAGATGGCAAGAAAGCACCCTCTCGCCGACGGTGACCGCATTTGTTGTAAAGGTTGAACCGCATGTAATCGATTTAGCGAGCGACGAGCTAGCGACGGAGACAGCGACGAGCGACGGCGATTTTTCACGGTCACCCGTCGCGGCGCTCGGTTTTTTTTTTTAATTTCTAGGAAACGTCGCTCATCGCCTTGGCCGCTCTTTCCCTTCGCTTTCATGCGGTTTGCCTCGTCGCGCAATTGACCTAGCGACTACGAAGGACTGACGTGATCATACGCGACGGCAAGTTTGCGCACTCAAATGGTCAGTATAAAAGACTTAAGGGCAGTCAAGGGATTTAGGAAGTGGCCGAGGATTCCAACTTCGAACGCGGTAGCGGGCGCACGTGGAATGGATCGCTCCGCTGCGAGCTCGATGACGGCGGCTCCGAGCCGCGGTGATGCCTAGCAAGGCGATGTTCCAAATGACTACGCAGTTATACTGCCTACTCTGTCGACAGGAGAAACCATGAAATGCAGCCTTGTCCTGCACGCTGATACCCGGGGGCGGCCGTACCGAGCTGAAGACTTCGTGGGGCCTCTGAAGCAGGTGGGAGTTCGGGAGGACGTAGCAGGACTTGGCGCGTTTCAAATGGGGCACGTCTGGCTGCTGAAGCTGCACACCACCTCCGCCAAAGAGACGCTTCTGCGAGAGGGGACCATGCTGGTGAAGGGGCGACCATGCCTGGTAATTGATCCAGAAAAACGAGTGCTGAAGGTAAAAGTCGACTGGGTGGCATTCGACGTATCTGCAGACGCCCTTCGACGGGCCTTCGAGCTTTACGGGGAGGTGAAGGGTCTCACCCGCGAGAAGTGGAGCATCGAGGGCCTGGCAGACGTGGATACTACTACCGTCATCATCCGCATGGTGCTCTGTGAAGACATAACACCGGAGTCCCTGCCGCAGCAGCTCCGCATCTACGGAGGCCCGCTCCTGGTTGTCGTCCCCGGACGGGCACCGGTGTGCCTCCGCTGTCGACGCACGGGACATATACGGCGGGACTGTAGAGTGCCGAGGTGTGAGGAGTGTCGAGCCTTCGGGGATGAGGCCTCGGATTGCGTACGGTCGTACGCTCGAGCTGCTGCCAGTAAGACCACCGACAGCCAGGACAGAAACCTCGTAATGGACGAGGAAGAGGCCGAGGCGGCGGCGACTCCAACCGCGAGGATTTCTTCATAATACCGTCAATAGTCCGGTGAGCAGCAACACGAACTGTTAGCGATGCCTGAAGGCCAGGTCTCCGCCATAACATTGACGGCGGAAGGCACTGTTGGTGAAAATGAGCCTAACGCGAAGAAGACCATTGAGACGACACCGGCAGCTAAGGACGCGACTGACGCACTGGACGCCGGAGATGGTACAGCAATGGACTTCGCGACCGAGGCGATCAAGCGGCGGCTCAGCGACCCGGAGCAGGGAAGCCACCAGACGCTCCAGCAGACTGAGGGACCTGGTTCGTAGTGACGAGCAAGAGGGGACGACGCGCTGGCCGCAGCCGTTCTTCGTTTCTTCCCAGGTAGGGTGAGAGATGACCCCAGCGTACAAGGCCTAAGACTCGCTTTTCGATGGTTTCCCTTGAAAACGCCTTGCGCGTAGCTACGTTGATCGTCCGCGGACTTTTAGCCAGACGACGGCAGCAACAGCTCTACCGGCTGTTCACCGAGCATGACCTGGACATTGTCGCAATTCAGGAAACCGAAGTCGAGAGCGAGAACCAGACCGACTACATGGTGCGGCCTTTTCTGGCGGGGTACGAAGTCTGCGTGAGTCATGATGCTGGTTTCTCGGCTGGCTGCTGCCTGCTCCTCAGAAAATCTGTAGGCGCGGCCGTGCAAACCGTCACGACCTGCCCATCTGGGAGGTTTGTCATGTGTGATTTTTATGTTATGGGAAATGAATGGCGTGTCATTTGTGTTTATGCACCTAATGAGGCTGAGGAGCGAAGGTTTTTTTTCCAAAACGTTTTCCAACATTGCCAGTCCCATCGCTTTCTGATCATTTTGGGTGACTTTAATTGTGTCTGCCGAGCCGAAGACAGGTCCAACCGAACGCGCAATAGGGATGCCAGTACCCTAGAATTAAATAACATTATTGAAGATTTTGTTCTGGAAGACGTCGCATGTTGTGTGCCTAGGTCAAACTGTATGCCTTTCACGCACTTTCAGCGTGTCAGTCACGCTAGACTGGACCGGGCGTATATCTCATCGAAACTGGTATATTTATGCCGAAGTTATTCTGTAGACTATGCTGCTTTTAGCGATCACTGCCTTGTAACATTCCAATTAGGTAAAAAGAAAGAGGGGGCCAATTTCTCATGGGAATTATGGAAAATGAATGCGAAACTTCTAAAGGATGAACAATTTCTTTCCTGTCTTAAGACAATCTGAAGTGACGTGCAACTGAAAGGAGGCAGTGCAAGCGAGAGCTGGGAAACATTTAAACAGAAGATGAAATTAACTGCACTTGAAAGGACATGTCTCCTGAAGTATCAGGAGAAGAGTCGAGAATTGGAACACCAAAAAAACTTAGACAAGCTGCTACAGGAAGAATGCCGGGCACCCGGCGCTTTCATTGGGGGTATTAACCACTTGAATGCCAAAATTGAAAGTCTCGATCGCGACTGATACAGGGGGGCGGCAATACGGGCTCCCTCAGAGCGTTTCTTGGTGGGAGAGCAGCCGACAAAAAGAATGGTGGCGGCGGAAAAGAAATATGCGCGAGCGAATGATGTAGTTGAAATAGAACTCCTTGAGGTTTTGTCCAGCGATAAAACTCATATCGAAGATGCGTTTGTTTAACACTATAAAACGTTGTTGAGTTGTAGCGCCCCACCACTGTCAGGACTTAAAGACGACTTTCTCCCTCTACGGCCGAAGGTTGACGGAAACGATAAGGACTTTTTAGAGGAACCAATCAGCTTGTCAGAGGTAACAAAAGCGATAGATGACTTAAAACCCGGAAAAGCAGGGCCCAGATGGCTTAATTGCTTGGTTTTTACAAAACATTTAAACATGAAATTTTATCCGCGTTAATTGAAGTTTTCACTGAGGCATATGAACGAAAAGTTCTCCCCCCCTCCTTTTCACGCACACACACAGTGTTAATCCCAAAGTGTGACGACTCCGTTAAGCTTCGCAGTGTTAACTCCTACCGTCTAATAAGCCTTACAATGTTGACTATAGAATATTAATGAAAGTCCTCGCTCGCCGTTTGCAGGGTGTGATAACGAGTGTTGTTGGGCCTCATCAGACATGCGGCATACAGGGTCGGACTATTTTGACCAACATTCATTTTGCCCGCAGTATCTTGGAGTGTTGTGACGGTGAGCTGCGCTAAGTCTCCATGTTACAAATTGACTTGGAAAAGGCCTTCGATCGGGTGTCTCATGACGTTTTAAGCCAAATTTTGAAGCATATCGATATAGGACCTATAATTTTTGAAGGAGTGCAACCGGCATATTATAATTGTACAACGCGTCTTATTGTTGAAAGCGAGTCAGTGAACGCATTCCTGTAAAATCTTCTGTTAGACAAGGCTGTCCGCTCTCGCCATTACTGTTTGGATTGTATATTGAACCATACTGCTTGAGTGTCATTCGGAGTGAGCATGTTCGCGGTTTTACCTTGAATGCGCGCGAGGTTCGCATTTCGGCTTATGCGGACGACATTGCTATTTTTTGCACAGATAGAGAGAGTATTGAAAGAGCCATCGAAATCACCAAAACTTTTTCTTCTCGGACCGGATGTTCAGTGAACTGGTCGAAATGTTCGCGTTTTTGGCACGGCGGATAGGCATCGAAGCCAAACTTTGTCGCTCACCATTGCCTGGTCAACCCTTCCCACCCGTTATCTTGGCGTACCATTTGAATACTATCGTGACAGCGCGGGTCTGTGGAGTGAAGAGACAGATAAGCTGCGCGAGAAAGCGGCCCCGAGTGCAGGCCGCCATTTGTCTATTTTCGCGAGAGCTACAGTGTGTAATTTATTTTTCTCGCTAAGCTGCGGTATCTTCTACAGGTATTGCATTGTTCTCGATTTCACATTCAGAAGCTGCATCGTGTGTTCGCTGTATATTGTCACGAATGAAGGTGACGAAAAGCCAAACAGTGAACTGAAAATAAAGATTCAATGGGCGAACTTGTGCCAACCAAAAATAAATAACTAAGGAGCGTCGAGGTAGCGGAAAAGCGGGCGGCGGTTCGGCGGCACTACAGAGCGCTAGCGAGACTGGGACTGACTCGACAAGGTCGCGGGAGCCGTTTATCTACCCTGCGTCACTATCTCGAAAGTTCGGCAAAGAAGGTTCGAGCGTCGCGCGCTCGGGGCGAGGATGAACTGGCACTTTCGAGAATAACAAAGCAGAAGGAAAGTTACGTCTGCTGCGAGAATGACCGGGAATCTTCTAGAAGACCGTGACCGAGCGTTGCCTTCTCGGCTCTGCGGGTGGCATTATCCCCCCTTTAAAAGTGCATCGCCCCGATGCAAAACGAAAGGAAAACGGAAATGGCTAAAACAATTACGGCGAAACAAAACAAACATGGTTTCACAATCCTAACGCACGTAGAACGGCTTGAGTCGAACAACGTGGACGACTTCGGGTCGTAGCTGGCGGCGTCCTGATGGGCGAGTTCCGTCGGGGAGCACCTCGTAGTTCAAGTCCCCAAGGCGGCGGATGACCTTGTAGGGTCCGAAGTAGCGTTTTAACAGTTTCTCGCTGAGGCCGCGGCGGCGAATGGGTGTCCACACCCATACCCTGTCTCCGGGCTGGAACTCCACGTCGCGGCGGCGAAGGTTGTACCGGCCAGCGTCCACACGTTGCTGGTCCTTTATTCGAAGACGGGCTAGCTGGCGTACTTCTTCTGCTCGTTGGGTGACCAGCTGGGCGTCGTCAGTGCCGTCATCCGTCGGGTCGTGGGGCAGCATGGCGTCGAGCATCGTCGTCACCTTTCTGCCGTGCACCAGCTGAAAGGGTGTAATGCCGGTAGTTTCTTGAATCGCCGTGTTGTACGCAAACGTGACGTAGGGCAGCACTTCATCCCACGTCTTGTGTTCCACGTCAACGTACATAGAAATCATGTCGGCGATGGTCTTGTTTAGTCGCTCCGTCAACCCGTTGGTCTGCGGGTGGTATGCCGTGGTCCGGCGGTGGTCGGTGTGGCTCAGGCGGAGTATCTCTTGTGTCAGTTGCGCCATGAACGAGGATCCTCGATCCGTAATCAGGACTTGGGGAGCGCCGTGTCGGAGGACGATAGACTCCACGAAGAATTTGGCTACTTCCACGGCGGTCCCCGACGGGAGTGCTTTTGTCTCGGCGTACCTGGTGAGATAATCAGTTGCCACGATTATCCACCGGTTTCCCTGCGCCGACGGTGGCAAAGGTCCGAGAAGATCCATTCCAACCTGCTGGAATGGTGCAGTCGGGGGCGCGATCGGTTCCAAGAGACCTGCCGGCTTCGTCGGTGGTTTCTTACGTCGGTGGCATTCGTGGCACGAACGGACGTAGAGGTGGACAGTCTTCGGAAGCTTGGGCCAGTAGTATTTTTCTCGGATCCGTGCAAGAGTCCTACTGTAGCCAAGGTGACCAGATGTTGGGTCGTCGTGGCAAGCTTGGAAGATCTCTTCTCGAAGACTAGCAGGAATCACTAGCAGCCACGTCGAGTTGTTGTCCCCGAAGTTTTCTTTATAGAGGATACCTCTCCGGACGGCGAATCGTGGCAGGTCACGTGAGAAGGCTCGGAGAATCGTACCCCCTCGTCCCTCCAAGTGGTCGATCAATGCACGCAGCTCAGGATCGTCCCGCTGGAGCGCTGCCATGCCGTGAATGCTCACCGCGCCAAGAAAGTGGTCGTCGTCGTCGTCGTCTTTGGCACATCCGGCAGCTGACTCGACAGGGGCTCTGGACAGGCAGTCGGCGTCGCTGTGTTTTCGGCCTGACTTGTATACCGCGGTTACGTCGTACTCTTGCAGTCGTAGGCTCCATCGAGCGAGGCGTCCCGATGGGTCCTTCAGGCTCGCTAACCAACACAGCGAATGGTAGTCGGTGACCACCCGAAAAGGAGTCCCGTACAGGTATGGGCGGAATTTCGTGATAGCCCAGACGACGGCCAGACATTCCTTCTCGGTCGTCGAGTAATTGCGTTCCGCGTTCGACAGCGTCCG